TGATTACTCTGGATAGTCTACAGACCTCGCTGTGAACAATTAGACTATCCTGAGTTTTTTTGGTAAAACATTAAAGTAGTTTCAGTGGAAACTGTCCACGTCATCTAGAAAGAAGTGAATCCACTATCGTTGAGTCGCAGTTTGATTTCAACTAGAGGCTACATTCAGTTGTCGGTTCGGTTTTTAATTCAGCGAATCGCTTCACTGTGTGGTAAAACCGATGCTCCATCCATTTGTTCTGTACGGTTTACTATTGGGATTTCTGGTTTAAAGAGGAAGTAGAGGAACTTTTCAACTAGCTACCGCTGTCTGCTTATCGTTATCAACTTCTTAAACTCCACAGAATCCGCCATGTTGGACCACCATGTTTCTACAGTAGCCCAGAATGGACAAACACTGGCTGTAGATAGTGTTTTTTGAGTTTCACAGCCATTGTTTGTCCTACACACTTCACAGCCTGTTCTTATTCCCAGGTCATCAAATACATACAGATGCGAGCAATGTTCAGTTAGTTGCAATCTGCGACCTCACCGCTAAATGTCACTAAATCCTACACAACGTCCTTTATGAGGCACCTGCACATTTGAGTATTTCCATTATATACTTTTTTTATACCTTCATTAAATTAAATCAAGTGAAATATTGTATCCTACTTTTTACTATATATAATTTGAGATTATAAGATATATTGTTACAGATCAGACTATCAAAAGCATATAAAGCATATAGCTTAACCTCTGCCAGCTACATCAGGAGCAACATCAGCATTGTGTCGTGTTTGTGTCCACCGGATGAATGTGAGTCCAATATTCACTCTCTTTTATCTAGTTTTTGATCTCTACCAACTACTAAAGGAAATATCAGGTTCTTTAGCTGCTAAATGCTCCACTGTGTTCACCAGCTAGATGTTAACTGTCTGTGTGCTGTCTGGTGCTGACTGGGTTGTGTAAAACAGCTGCTTGTATCTGCTAAAAAAATAAAAATAATGCCAATGAGAGTGGTAAGAGTGAACCACAACAGTAAAGTTGCAAGCCACAAAAACCAAAGCAGTGAAGCTAAAAGATGCTAAAACGTTCCGTAGAGCTGAGGGAAACTACAAAAGCAAAGATGCAAGTATGTTTGCAGTCACTATTGTTATTACTGTATGATGATATGACACCTCAGCTTCTTTAAATTCAAAATACACAATAATATAGCACTAACACTAACGTTTTAGAAGAACGATGTCAGTATTTTGACACACACTCCTTTTCTCTTCACTTATAGACACCAAACATCAGAACAAACTGAGATACTTTGACTGTATCTGCCCTGAATGTGCTGCATGAGCAGAAGAGCAGAAAATCTATGCAAATGCGCAAGATACATTTGCCTGGAATGACAAGAGGCAATAGGATCAAAGTTGGTGTGCACACACTCTCAGCCCAATGTGATTCCCAAGAACAGTCAGCTATGGCCTGTGGCAGTGAACCTCAGCATGAATGAGTTTTAACACTTGACATGAGGATTATAAATGGTGAGGACTCCATTCACCTAATGTTCAGTATTTCTATAGCACCTATCATATTGTCATTTGTTACAGGTCGTTTTAACAAAAGAGCTGGCTTTAACCAGACCTTGAAGAACTAGTTCTGAGCGACAAAAGGTCAGGAAACATTGAGATTCAGTTCCCACAATGTCTGGTAAGCGGTGGTCTTACTCTGAATCTAGTAGAGGAGTAAGCACGTCTACTGGAGCTTTGTCTCTGCACTATCACCACCTGGTCATTAGTTCTGTGCTGTGTACCTGCCAACTTGCCTCCTCTTTAGCCTTTTCATTCATCCTACTGATTCATTCACTGACTTGTTCCCATTCCTGTCAGATAAACAGATTCATCACCAACAAACTGAGCACTCTCTCTCTTGGCAGTTTGCTCTGTTTCCCTTCGACATCCAAACAGATTGAACAGTGAAACCACCAGCAGGGAGACGGCTTGAAGAAATGACCTCGCAGTTATGAAGTCTTTGAACTTTTCCCGTCTCTGCCGAGGCGCCGCAGCTAAAACATCCCAGACCGCTGAGTGTCTGTGATTCTAACGCTGGGGTCAAAATGAAGCCACGTCCCTCAGTTTATCTGTGAGATTGCTGATGTCCAGGAGGCAAAACTAAATCTGGATTTCACATCTGAAACCAGACAAGGAAAATAGCAGAGACATGGTGTTACAACCTGCTGCCATTCTAGTTTTCACTTGAATTAAAGGATTCAGGATGATTTATCTGCACAATTCTGTGTTGTTTAAACGATCATCCAGCACATGAAAAACACAAAGTCACATGTCTGTAAAATTCATCCACTGAACCTTAAAGTAACAGTTTGATGCTTTGGAAAATACTCGTGTCCTTGCTTAGATGGCTACTCTCATGTCTGTGTGTTCAATGCGGAACTAGAGGTGGTTAGCTTAGCTTAGCATAAAGACTAGGAGCAGGGGGAAACAGTTAGCTAGCCTCTGTCAAAAGTTCTGTCTGTGTATATTAGTGGTCATCGACAGCTATCCTTTGCCCCTCCAGTTGTTACGGTAACCCTCCTTGCTTTGGAAAGAGTACTGGATCTTTAGTTTCAGTCAATCAATGTCACTAATACTTGAGACTTGTTTTCAAAAACTGGCTACTAAAAGAGACATCAGCACACAGCACAGACTTACAGCAGCCTAACAGGGATGAAAACCTCCAGGCAATCATGATAAAATACATAAAACAAACACAACACATGAATTACAACTATGCTCGCATTCATAAGCAAATACGGACAAATATGACAGCAAATACAGACACACACATGTGACTGCACACAGTTCCCAGAAGGGATTAGCGGGAGAACGAGAGAAAGAAAGAATGAACAAGTAAGGGGGAGCAGGGGACAGAAAGAGCTCACCTTTCCTCATAATTCCTATGCTCACCTGTTCATCCCCTCACCTGGGGCAGCGGGATCACTCTCTCTCCCTCCCTCCCTCCCTCCCA